ACTGCGAATGTACAAATGGAAGTAGAATGCGTGCCGCATCCCAAAAAGGGATTGATCAACGGCAAATGCTTTATCCTTTTATCCTTTATCCGTAGAACTTATGCTTAGCCATGGAACCATAGGAATCGAGTTGGGGCCGAAGTCAATCTTTTCATACCTTCGACCCTTTGTCTCATCCTCATAGAAAATGGACGAGGCAAAAGGTGGGAATCGATTTTTCAGGTATGGAACAGAATAGATTTGGTAAATATATCATTTTCACCATATTATATTATACGTATCATAAAATATGCGATAAAAATTGTCATAATAAGTGCACCTGGAATCGTAGCGGTCCTATAGGCGGGCTGGCAAATGGGATTCCTTGAAACGCATCGACCTGAAATTTAATCACTGCACGATGAGAATCACTTGAGATGATGCTAACGTCCTTCTCCAGCCATCAAGGTACATAATTAGACGCTTCTCTTGACGGCTAAGTGCTTACGCAGGGTAGTTCTTCCTAGAGGAACTGCAACACTCAATGCGCTACATTAGCTTTTTTGCTACTTAATCTACGGAGCACGTTATCAATACTATTCTACTATTTTCATTTCACAAGTTGACCTTGAAAAAAGACAAGTCATGGCGAAACGGTTCCCCCAGCAAACGTAACTTGTAGCGCACTTGCCCGGTAAGCGAGAGGTGCGGGTTCTAGTCCCGCCTGGGGCGAAAGTTTTGTTCACAACCCAGTATTCTTGTGAAACATTCGCAAGGCGAACTGCGGCCAAAACAGCAGTTAACAAACAAAAACAAGCCAAAATCATTCTTATTCATATTAGTACCTGAATAGACCACTCAGCGCCGATGATTTCGTAGGCGCGTGTTGTGAACACTCGCATGCGATTCTGTGCGATACCTTACCAAGTTAAGAAACATGGACAATGAGTGAAATGTCGTAAAAGGACGATCAAGTTACTTAAAGGCACGGGTCGCGACCGGGTTGGTGTGTTTCCCCCTCGAAAATGAGACATGATGTGCGTTGAAGACCGTCAGTGACAAAAAAAAACAATAGAGCGAAAAAGTAAAGCACTAACGAGGAAGGTCTTTCAGGAAATGCCCAGCTTTCCTCAAATTGGTTGTTTGCATGATATAGGGAGCAAGTGCATGAACACAGAACGTCGTTCATTTTTCCTGAGCTACCCTCTGGTTACCGACTGGATCCCCTGGGACGTCAAACGAACACCTTGGACGACCGCCGGCCCGAT